CGCCACAAAGAAACGCCAATCTTCCCTGCCCCATGTGCCGCCAAAACACGAATCGCGCAATTTCAAAATCTGAAGCATAAAATTGCTCCGCTGCATTGCGTTGTATCACTCACACAGTTTCTCACAACTTCTGAAGGTACTTGGATCCCTGAATTCTCTTAGTCGTTGTTATCATCGCCAGCCATGGCTCACACCAACTACAAAACCATCGCAGTCGCTTTCCTGATTGCATCTTTCGCTTCACATTCTCTCGCTGGATTTATGGGCGGAGCGTCAACCTTCGCACCTGTAAGTTTCCTCACACGCATTTTTGTTTTCTCACCACAGTGACAATCAGCATCATGATTTCCAGCATGCCGTGAATCTACAGCGTCGTACTATAAAATCTCCCCTTCGTGATATATGCCTCATTCCAGGCTGGCGGGGCGCTCATCAAGGCATGGAACGCAGCCAAGCCGGGAATTTCCCAGGACGTCGTTGCATACGACTCTGTGGGATCAGGCGCCGGAATCACCGGCTTCAACGGCGGCACCTACCTCATTGCCGTCTCCGATGACCCCATGACCGCCACGCAAGAGGGCGGCGTAGTCGCCAGCGGCAAGATCACCGTGCCGCTCTGCGTCTCCACCTTCAGCTTCTTCGTAAACGCCAAGCCCGGCGTCGTGCTGACGGCCACCCAGGCGTATCAGATCTACAGCGGCGCTATCTCCGCCTGGGGCGCCGTTCCCGGCGCGGTTGGCAAGGTCGCGGGCGCCATTACCCGCGTTGCTCGCAGCGACAAGTCCGGATCCACGGCGATTGTGAAGACGATGTGGTCCAAGGCCGTCTCGGGCTATGGCGACGGCACGGACGGCACGGCCATGACGTATGCCGGCCTCACCAAGGTGGAGGGCACGACCGCCGTGTGCGCCGCCGTGCTCAAGACCAAGGGCGCCATCGGCTACGCGTTCACCGGCGGATGCAGCGTCGTGTACAACCGCCGCAAGCCCAACAACCCGAACCGCGTGATCGCCGCGCTCAAAAACGCCAACGGCGTCGCCGTCGCGCCGCCGTCGTGGGTCCCCGGCGCGGCGCTCGTGGGCGCGCCTCCCGCAGCCGACGGGTCCTGGAGCAGCGTGGATTTCATCTGGAAGGCCGGAGCGAAGACCCCTGCGATGGTTTCCATGGAGTATGGGTTCATCCGCAAGTCGCTGACGGGTGTGACTGGTGGGAAGATTGCCAAGGCGTTCATGCAGTTCATGATCGGGAAGCTGAAGAACGGTGGGTATGGGTTCAATGCGGTGCCTGCTGCGTGGAGGAACCCGTCCATCACCATGGTGAATGCCATTGCTGCGTAGAATGCCCTATCGTACTTCCCATGGTGAATCTTAGGAAAGTTGTATGCAGGACAGTAAGTGAGAGTGCTGGAGAAGTTGGTGTGGACGTTGTTGCAAGAGGTTAGCTCCAGTTGCATGGTGAGGAAGAGAGGTGGTTGGTGCTGTCAGCTTGCTTCTGGAATGTTGGTTCATTTCAGTGAGGGAGTGTTGAGGGAATAATGTGTTGACATGCAATTATTAATGTATTGGACGAAACAAGACACTTGCTCTCAGCCTGAAAAGGCAGGACATGATGTGTATGGCAGCTGGGTGAACCACATCACGTTGTGATCCCATGCATGCATGATAACTCTCCTGTTTTTCAAGCCCTGGGTCAGGGGGGTGTATGCTATAATTTTCTTCTTTGCCCAAATATACAGCTGTCAGCTCCTCTCCTGTGCTGCTTCCCTCCCTCCTCTCCACCTCAGCTTTCTGCGTCCCATCCCCGCCCGCTCCTTTGGCCTACTACTCCCCTGCACTAGGACAGGGCGAGACGTGTGGTAGCACAGTAAGTGTATGACTTCTGCGAGGCACGGATATAGGGAGAGGAATATGGAGATGGAAGATATAAATATGAATTACGGAGATATGAAATATAGAGCACGATATCAGGTGGTCAGAGTTAGGAAGCAGAGGGAAGGAAATGAGAAGGGAGTGTGGGAAATATGGAGGCAGGTAGATGGGGACTGTGGAAGAGAGGGAGGGTGGGAGAAAAGGGAGGGTGGGATGAACGGAGGGTAGGAGATACGCGGGTGGGAGAGAAGTTAAAAGGAGAGAAGGTAGAGGGAAGGGAGAAGGTAGACAAAGAAGGATGGGCGGAGAGTTAATGCGATGGAAATTAGGAAGGAGGGAAGATGGTAAGTGGGGGGGTGGAGGAGTTAGTGGGGGGAGGGAGAGCAGTAAGTGGGGAGACGGAAGTGGGAAACTGGGGGGTTGGGGTGCAGTGTGTGAGGGCAGTGGGCGGAGACTGGGGGGTGGAGGGGGGACAGGCAGCGGAAGCAAGGGCGACGGCCAGGGGAAGCATACGTACTTGCTATTGCCCTTGCCCTCTCACACTCCTTCACATACCTCGCCAGTCAATCGGGGGATGGAGGGAGGTGAGTGGGGGGAATGAGGGGGGAAATGTGGGGTAAATCTTTGTCCTCCCACCCCTCTGCCCATGCATCCTCCCGCCCCCCCCCTCCATTCCTCTTTCCCGCCCTGCAGTTCCCCTTTGGGAGGTAAATCGGGGGATGGAGGGAGGTTAGTATGAAGGGGGTTAGCCAAGGGGTGGAGGGAAGCGACTATGAGGGGGGTTAGCCGAGGGGTGTAGGGATGTAAGTGGGAGGAATGAGAGGGGTTAGGTTAGAGGTGGAGGTAAGAGGTGGGAATGTTGGGGGGAAAATCAGGAGATGGGAGAGGCAAGTGGGAAGAGCCTGGAGGAAGGTTAGTAGGGGGAATGAGGTGGAAAAACTAGGGGATGAAGGAACGTAAGTAGGGGGACTGAGGTGGAAAAATCGGGGGATGGAGAAAGGTAAGTATGGGGATAAAGGTGGAAAAATCGGGGGATGGAGGAGGATTGACGGGGGAAGTAGATGGGCAGAAAGTGAAGGAAGGAGAGATGATTAGAGGGAAGGAGTAGAAATGTAGATAGGGGAGGAAGGGGAGAGGGTGCAGGAAGAAAGGAGAGAGGGATTGACGAGTGTGAGGGAGAGAGGAAGAGAGGGAGACAGGGAGAGAAGAAGAGAGGAAGATAGGGAGGTAGGGAGAGAGGAAGAGTGGGAAGGGAGGTAAATTTGCATGTAAGCAAACATTGACTTCCTTAGACCGATTACCCTGTACCAATCTCAGCACTGAAACGTAGGAGTGTTTGAAGGAAAGAAGGAGATGGTAGAATGGAAGACTGGATTCGGAAGGAGGGAGGGCGGTAAGTGAGGGGAAGTAGGGCGGGTGTGTGAGCGAGTTGATGGGAGAGATGCGTGAGGTCAAGTGTATGGAGGTATGTGGCGATGTGAGGGGAAGCGTGGACGACGGGGAAGGCACTGGGAGGGGAAGCGTGGGCGGCGGGGAAGGCATTGGGAAGCGAAGGCGACGGGGAAGGAAAGCGAGGGCGACGGGTAAGGCGACTGGACGGGAAACGAGAGCGACGGACAGGGAAAAGTAGGAGGACATGGAGGGGAAGCAAGGAAGACGGGCAGGGGAAGTGAGGGCGACGGAGAAGGCGATGGGATGAGAAGCGAGGGCGACGCAGGGGGCGCGTGGGCGACGCGGAGGGCTATGGGAGGGGAAGCGAGGGCGGCGAAAGGGGAAAGTAGGGCGATTGGCAGAACGAAGGTACTAGAGGAGGTGATATATGAGGAGAAGGAGGGAGATAAGTGAGGAGGAGGGAGACGGGAGAGAGGGGAGGGATCGAACGACGGGAGAGAGGGAGCGACGAGAGAGTGGTGGCGTCGGAAGGAATGCGGCGTCGGAAGGGATCGAACGACGGAGGGACGGGGCGATGCGAGGGATGTGGCGAGGCGACGAGAGGGATGTGGCGACTCGTATCGCGCAACGGGAGGTATCGAGAGGCGGGAGGATGCAGCGACAAGAAGCATTGATAACGGGCGGGATCAAGGCCGCTGATATTAGCAGCGCGGTAGAGACTATCGCGTCAAGCGTGTTTGCGCGACGGTGGAGGGATGGGAGCGGGCGCGAGGTGGGATCGAGAAGGGTTAGCCTGGCGGAAATATTGAAGTCGTTTTGGCCTTCTGTGCCATGAGTGCACGGGTTTCACTAATGAACTAAATTGCTATTGAAGTAGAAAACTAGAGAATGAACACATAATGTCAAACGATGCTAAAATAGGCTAGATTTGAGCGAAGCGAGGACCTCGGGGCAAAGTAAACGAGGCTCGGAAAGTTGGCGAGAAGTGCGGTGGCGATCGGAAGTGGTTCGGGACGAAAAACTAGGGTCGAACCAGCTGATAGGAGACCCTCGAAAGATACCCGCTAAAGAAAGTACACAGTAAAGACATAACAGTGCGACTTGACTTCCAAGTTATATTAGTGGTCCTCGTACACGTGGTGTACACTCTCTCACTGTGAGTGCTATTTTTCAAAAGACTGTATCGAATAACGAGGCTTTAGTAATGAAGGAATCTGCAGCTGTAGTGGCGTTATTATGTCCAGGCTGTCAACTTTCTTTTCCCCCTCTCCTCCCTCTTCCCTCCCTCCGTTTTACCGTACTATAATTTCCCACCCCACTCCACCGTACCGTAGCCCTGCCTTTTCAGTCGACCTAAAGCGCCACCCAGCACCAAACCCTATCTGATGTTCCCTCATAAACCAAGCTTTCACCACCTATCTCCCTGCTCGCCTCATTCTAGTTCGTCGCATCATCCGCGTTGAACTGACGCGTCTAGTTTCCTCGACAATTCTGTATGTTTCTTTATTCCCATGTGGTCTTCCTCGTAAGAATTTCTATCGTGTTTTAAGAGCTGATTGATTATTTTTGTCAGTCCTGCTTTTTTTTTTTAGTTCCACTCTCACCTCTTTTTTTTTTATCCTGTCAATACCGCCTTCCATCGTATGTCCCATCCCGTTCCTTTTCCTTGTCTCGTGCTTCTAATATTGCGGATCCCTCCCCCGTTTCCTCCTCAGGATCAAGTCAGAATCAGTAACCGATATGACAACTAACGGCGCGTCTGATGCCGACGAGAAAGTTACTGAAAACGTTAAGTCTGCCGTAATCGACTTGGAGGAGCAACCGGGAGCTGACGTGGACGGAAAGGCTGACGTGGACAATGTGGATAAGGGCGACGAATTTGACCTAGATGGTGAACCTGAGGATGTGGACGGTTCGCCGGGAAGAACGGAGAACGCGAGTGTGCCGGGAACAACGGCGGAGGATGCGGATCAAGAGATGGTAAATGTCGATACCGACGGTCCCGACGCTCAGATTTCAGGGTACGCCATTCGTTACGAAAACGTTCGCCGGTCTTTCGCGGACCTGCAGGCGAAATCGGCGATGCTCGCGAGCTGCATCGCGCAGTGGAAAGAGCTGGACGAGTTTTTCGCCGCGAGCGAGGAGAGGCTCCGAAAGCGGGAGCAGGATGTGAGCGAGCGAGAGAGAGCCCTAGAGGAGAAGACGCGAACCGTTACAAAGGATCTCGATAAGCGAGAGAGTGCGATCTCGTCTCGCGAATCTGCGTCGATGCAGCGAGTGCAGGAACAGCGAGATGCAGCTTTTGCTGCTCTTGCGGAGGAGAGGAAGAAATGGCAGGAGGAGAAGAGCCGTGAGAAGGACAAGGCAGCGAGCGGGAGGGGTAAGGAAGCGAGCGATAAGGCGAGGCGCGAGAGCGAGAGGAAGGAGAGCAGCGACAAGGCTGAGAAGGATAAGAAGGAGAAGGAGAAAGAGAGGGAGAAGGAGAAGGAAAGGGAGAAGGAGAAGGAGAAGGAGAAGGAGAAGGTAACGGAAGAGAAGAAAAAGGAGGAGGAGAAGGAGAACGAGGCGGGCAAGATTAAGGAAGAGGCCCGATCTGACGGGGACAAGGACAAGGCTTCGGCCTCAGCCCGTGCTACGCGCGCGGCCAGTGAAGACAAGTCGTCCGGGAAGCAAGCTGCCACCGAGACTGCTCCTAGCGAGCCTGCCAGTAACGGAGCGGCTACAGCCGCTACAGCCGAGCCCGCTACGGCTCACCCCAAAGACAGCAAGTCCGACAAGGCCCCGAGATCCGGGGACGACTCGAGGGAGGCGGCGGTGCGCGTGAGCGCGGAGCTGCGCGCGCTGTGCGCGGGGATGGACGCGGAGGGGCTGAAGCGCTACGTGATGCAGAACCGGCGCGACATTAGCCGCGTGCGCGCGGAGCTTCCGCACGCGCTCCCGCTCGCGCTCGACCCCTGCCGCCTGGTCCTCTCCTGCCTGGACTCCTACAAACCCAAGGCCGTCGAAGCTTCCGCGGCCGGCAAGGATAAGCGGCGCGAGCCCGTCGAGCCCACCCACGTGCGCGCCGTTTCCCTCCTGGTGGAAACCCTAGGGCAGGTTTTGGCCAAGCAGGCCAAGGCGGAGGGGGTTTCCGTCCCCGTTATTGCGCCCTCGATACAGGAGAAGGCGCGGGGGATTTTGGAGGGGTGGGTGAGGAGCGGGGGCCCGCTGAGCAAGGCGGAGGAAGCTTCGGCGCTGGACGCGTGGCTGGTGCTTCAGGTGGCGGCGGTGTTTGGCGTGGCGCGGCAGGTGGACGAAGACGCGCTGCTAGGGTTCGTGGCGGCGTCCGCGCGGCGCAAGCAGACGGCCGACATGGTGAAGGCCATGGGGCTCGTGGACAAGATGCCAGGTGGGGAATTCGCATGGGGATGGGGCCGTCTGGCTATTGATAAGTAGCTATGGCCATGGCCCACTGTGGTAACGGTGAAGGTCATGGGGCTTGAGGAGAAAATGCCAGCTGGGAAATTCGTATGAGGGTGGTGGATGGAGGTAGGAATCACTGACAGGTGCGCTCAAGGCATTCACGGCCGTGTGGCTATTGATGAGTAGCTATGGCCGCATGGGCACTGCGGTAACGGTCAAGGCCATGGGTTTGCGGATAAATTCTCACCACACCACAGTATGCGCATGTGGCGCAGGGCAGAGCACGTTGCGATCGTGAGTCGCAGCTGCGTTGCTCTCAGCTCCACGTTGGGCCGTAAGCATGGCTTCTGGCTGACAGAAGGCTTCAAGCGCATGTCCGACTGGCTGGCTGGCTGGCTGGCTGGCTGGCTGGCTGGCTTGCTGGCTGGAAGCGTGACTTGTGAGTTGAAAGGGCCAGAAGTGCATGATCCGACTGGCTGGATGTGTGGTGGTCGAGGGACGCTTCTGACAGCTGTCACAGCGGGACGGTTGGTGTGACAAGCTGTTGCGTTATGTAGCATGCATGGGTTGCTTGCGCCGCGCTGGTGGCTTGCTTCTCTGAGCGTCAAAGGCCAAGCATATGGTATGCTGGCGGATTTTTCTCCATGCATGTGCAATGCAGACAGTGTGCTATGTGTGTGCTTGCAGCCTCTCGCTGTGCTGCGAGCTGTGCTGTGCTGTGCTGTGCTGTGCCGTGCTGCGTGCTGTGCCGTGCTGCATGCTGTGCTGTGCTGTGCTGTGCTGTGCTGCGTGCTGTGCTGTGCTGTGCTGTGCTGTGCTGTGCTGCGTGCTGTGCTGTGCTGTGCTGTGCTGTGCTGTGCTGTGCTGTGCTGTGCTGTGCTGTGCTGTGCTGTGCTGCGTGCTGTGCTGTGCTGTGCTGTGCTGTGCTGTGCTGTGCTGTGCTGTGCTGCGTGCTGTGCTGTGCTGTGCTGCGTGCTGTGCTGTGCTGTGCTGTGCTGTGCTGTGCTGTGCTGTGCTGTGCTGTGCTGTGCTGTGCTGTGCTGTGCTGTGCTGTGCTGTGCTGCGTGCTGTGCTGTGCTGTGCTGTGCAGTGCTGTGCTGTGCTGTGCTGTGCTGTGCTGTGCTGTGCTGTGCTGTGCTGTGCTGTGCTGTGCTGCGTGCTGTGCTGTGCTGTGCTGCGTGCTGTGCTGTGCTGTGCTGTGCTGTGCTGTGCTGTGCTGTGCTGCGTGCTGTGCTGTGCTGTGCTGTGCTGTGCAGTGCTGTGCTGTGCTGTGCTGTGCTGTGCTGTGCTGTGCTGTGCTGTGCTGTGCTGTGCTGTGCACGTCCGCCTCGCGTTTTCCAGGAAGTGAGCAGCTTGCGTCCTGCAGTGTTTTCCTCTCACCCCACTTAGCTTCCAAATTCATTCCCACAAATCCGTGTGTGGAAGTGGTATGCTTTCCCATTCCCATGTTTCCACTAGGACACGCAAGCTAACCCATAGCTGATCAACTGCTACAGCCCGCCTGTGCTTAAGGCAAGGCGCTCAGACGCCTTGAATGCTGAATCCTCCTCCGTCGTGCTGTCTTCCTCTCGTGCTGTTGTGCTATTGCTCTGTTATGGTGTTGTGTGGTTATGGTCATTCCCCTTGCAGTGGTGGTGCAGCGGCTGGTGAAGGAGGGGCGGGAGGTGGACGCCATCTACCTGTCGCACGGCGTTGACCTGCTTGACCGCGTTGACCCCGTTGACCCGCCCTTGACCCCGTTGACCCGCTCATCTGTGCCTCTTTTCTTCCTGTCGCGCTATTGCCTGCGTTCTCCCCTGCAGCCGTGGTTGAGCGGCTGGTGAAGGAGGGGCAGGAGGTGGATGCCATCTACTTGGCGCTCATCTCACACCCGCTCATCTCTGCCTCCTTTTCTTCCTGCCATGCTGTATTTCTCTCGTGTTGTTGTGACGGTTCAACGTGCAGTCGTGGTTGAGCGGCTGGTGAAGGAGGGGCGGGAGGTGGACGCCATCTACCTGGCGCATGGCGTTGACCTGCTTGACCAGGTTGACCCCGTTGACCTGCTCAAGCGCAACCTCAGGGAGATCCGCACGCTCGTGTCCGCCATGACCAAGAAGGACAAGTCGCTGCAGGCTGAGGTGTGTGGGTGGGCTTGGGCGTGTCTATGTGCTGCTTGCTTGCGATTGCATGCCATACCGTGCACTGCCTTGTCGGTGCACTCACATGACATCCGCACACTCGTGCGCGCCATGACCAACAAGGACAAGTCGCTGCAGGTCAGCATGGTGCGGGTGCTCATCCACTGTGACCCACTTCCCATCGCACCACTATCCCCTTCCTCCCCGTCCCCCTCCCCCTCTCTCTCCCCTCTCAGAACGAGGCAACAGTAAGAAAGATCAGCATGGTGCGGGCGCTGATCCACTGCGTCTCACTTCCCGTCTCACCACTACCACCTTTCCTCCCTCTCAACCCTTCCCCCCTGCGTCGCTCAGAACAAGGCAACCTCGAGGGAGATCAGCATGATGCGAGCCCTGATCCGCTGCGTGGACGACTGCAGCCTCAAGCCTCTCACTATCGTCCCTCCTCCTTGGCTCCTCTCTCACCCCTCTCCCTCTCCCCTTCAGAACGAGGCCACCTCATGGGAAATCAGCATGGTGCGAGCCCTGATCCGCTGTGTGGACGACTGCAGTCTCAAGCCGCGCTTCTCCTCGGACAACCTCACCAAGCGCATCAAGCAGCTCGAGAAGAACCGCCACCTGCGCAAGCAGCAGCAGCAGGCTGCTGTGGGGCACTCATTCGCTCTGTGTGTTGCCACTCCCTGTCACACCCCTGCCTCTGGTCGCCCCTGCTTTCTCTCACCCCTCGCCGCTCCCCTCCCCTCCCCCCTCCCCCTCCCGTTCCCCCTCCCTCTCACCTCCCTCAGAACGAGGCAACCTCAAGGGAGATCAGCATGGTGCGAGCCCTGATCCGCTGCGTGGACGACTGTAATCTCAAGACTCTTTTTTCAACGGACCACCTCACCAAGCGCATAGAGCAGCTCGAGAAGAACCGCCAGCTCCGCAAGCAGCAGGCGCAGGTCGCCAAGCGCGCCGCGCACGAGACGCGCGTGCAGCAGGCCATGGCGGCGAAACGGCAGCGCCTTGCTACTGGCCCTGTGGGAGGCTTTGGTGGTGGCGGTGGTGGTGTCATGGCCTCCGGCTCGAACGCTGTCACTGTGGCGAATCTGCGGGCGGCGGCCGCCGCTCGGGCTGTGGGCGGCGCGAGGGGTGGTGGTGCGAGGGGCGGCGGCGGCGATGGTGGGTTCAGCAGTGGGGGTGGTGGGGGGTATCTTGGTGGTAGTGGTGGGGGGGGAGGCAGTGGTGGTGGTGCGAGGGGTGGTGGAGTGTCCTCGTCTCCCCGTTCGTACGGCCGGTCACGGCCTGGAGCAGCATCACCGGGACGAGCAGGCGCAGGAGGCGGAGGAGGTGGTGGTGGTGGGGGGGGAGGGAGCAGCAGATACGACCCGCCTCCTAGGTACAGCGGGGGAGGAGGGGGAGGGGGAGGATATACAGGCGGGCAGGGGCAGGTGCAGGTGCAGGTGCAGGGGCAGGGGCAGGGGCAAGCAGCATATTCTCTTGGAGGGGCAGGTATGGCTGGGGGAGGTGCCATCTATGCAACAGCTGGAGGGGGCCCAGGCAGCCTGGGGCAGGAGGTGGTATATGGGGTTGGAACCATGGGGTCGGGTCTTGCCTCTCCAGGCGTGGGGGCAGGGCTAGGGGGAGGGTTGTATGCCGCCGGGGGAGTGGGGAGCTTGGGGAGTGGTCTGGGGGGGACGGTGACGTATGTGACTGATCCGGGGGCTGGGCCGCAGCTGCTCGTGCAGAGAGGGATGTATGGGGGGGAGGTGGGGGCGGCGGGTACGACGGTGTACTATGCGGTTCAGGGGGATCAGGGGCAGGGGGGTGGGGGTGGGGGTGGGGGAGTGGGAGGTGGGGTGGGGGGAGCGCAGGTCAGTGCAGGACAAGCGACGTATGATTATCAGACTGGGTCGTATGTTGGAGGGGGTTACCAGGGGGGTTATGGTAGGTGAGAGGGAGTGAAATTGTTGGTGTTTGGATGAAAGCTGGATGGGAACAAGCGAGAACAAAATTGATGGCGACAGCGACTCGGGATATCGAGGTTTTTTTGAAGTAGGTGTTGAATTGCGCGGCGTGCAATGCACATGATTACTGGTGATGCCGTGTTCGCACATGGTGTACATGTGCTTGTCTTAGATTCACTTGCTGTGTTAAAACTGGTAATAACTAAGATTGGCGTACCATGCAGGGCCTATGTTAGGTTTTTGGCTACTCACGATTGGCAGTGTGGCATTTTTCAAAACCCTTCTGATCAGTCTGTAATGATACATCAGTGTAACATTGAGTTTCAACAAATTTACCCCAGAGCATCAGTGTAGTAAATTTGCGTACCCTTATCGCAAAAACATATTACTAATCGTTTTAGAAATGGGAACATTTTATTAATATAGCCATTCAGTCACATGTATGAACGCTCATCCTCGCTACCATCAGACGACTCCTCTCTTTCCTTTCCTTTTCCAGAGCACGACTTGTATGGGGCAGGTGTTTTTGCGGGTCTTCTCTTTTTTTTGCTTCCGCCAGATATCCACCACCTCGGGCCACTTGTACTCGTAGCTCAACATGTTCAGGGTCATCAGTTCGGATAGCCGGGCGTCGCCAAGCGACGTCCGCAACCAGCTTTTGATCACGTTTTGGCGGCTGAATCCGCGCTTGCACTCCACGGCACTTAGCGGAATTACTGCCAGCGCCTGCCACATGGACGTCAGGTTGGGAAAACTGCGCGGCCAATCCTTGGTCCTCTGCATTTTGTTAAGACCCTGGTAAAAGTCATCGTCCTGGTAGTGGCGAGACATGACGTGGCAGAAGCTGGCCAGCTCGAGCTCTGCAGCTCGGTGGTTGAAGCCTGCCACGTGTGATGGAGGGACAACATGTTGTGAGTAGAAAGGCCGAAACAAAACAAAACAAAACACGCTCATACAAGACAACATCCACGTGTGGATAATTACCTGGCAGCCGGTTGTTGAAGAGCCGCGCGTTGGCATCCAGCCAACTCAGCACCCGACGCTCCCTCTTGTCTGACGCTTCCAAATGCTGTGGTTGTACTCGATGAACACCACGATCGCCGCCCCAAGAATTCTGCACAGACGGGCCACTGCATCCCCGCGCGATAGCCAACGCACGTCGAAGAGCCCCTGGTGCTCCAGATTCGTTTGATGTATTTCGAGCTGGAGCTCCTTGAAGCGCTCAAGCCACACGGAAGATCGCATGACGATTTCGCCAAGCCCACGGATGGCGTCATCGACGATGTCGAGGTCCGTGAACTTCAACGCGGCTTCTTTGACCGCGAGCACTTCTCTGCATACAACATTAAAAATGCGTAAGGGGTTAGGAAGCTACTCCCTTATACGAGGCGATTGTACGGAAACAACAAACCTACCTGTGCGCTATGCAATGAGTCCCGACCAGATGTGGGACGCGCTGACGGAGACGAACAACAAGACCAGATTGGTTGCCAATCATCACCCCCGCGCCGTCGGTGCTAACTGCGACAATCCGCTGCAGATCAATCCCGATGTTCTCGAGGTGGCTCAGCAAAACCGCGAAGAGGGATCCCGCATTGCATTTGTGTATGGTAAGTAGAGCGAGAAATTCCGTCACCACTACTCGCTCCTTCATGAAGGTTGCAAACACCACGAGGTGTTTGCCGCGCGACCGGTCTGTGCTCTCGTCGCAGCTAATGCCGATCCACGGTGATGCATGGATGTACATAAGCTACTACTGTTTCTGATACGTGCACATAGCCTTCACCATCTCCGTGAAGCCGTATCTGCATGGTGCGCAAAAGGGAGGGTGGGAATCGTACCGGAAGCTATTCACAATACGGCAAAAACGTATTAAATTTCACTCACTGAGTGATATATACACCGTAGGTCTGCTGAGGAATGTCGGAAATGCCTTCCTTCGCGAGGAACTCTACGAGCCTCGGGAACATTGCGATCGGAGCGTCCTCGTCGCACACAAACTGGATGTTGCGCATAAGTCTCGGCACGCGCGCACCCTCGGGGTCAGCCCTCTCGTAGTCGTCGATTTTCTTCTGCGCCACCATCTTGTCCAGAAGACCCTTCTGCCAATCAATGCAGTCGTGATGGCGGGAGCTCGCTTGGTGTGCCCGCATCGACGCTGGCTGCAGGTCCCGTCCGCCGCTGCCATTCCGCTCGTAGCGTGCATTGTCGGGACCGTGCTCGCTGCACACACTGCGCCGCAAACAAGGCAGACCATCATCACCCTTGTCAAGCAACAACCAATCAAATTGCGGCAGCCATTTGGTGATGTAATTCCTCTGTGCTTCAAGGAACTTTGCTTCCACGCGTTCGGCCGGAGTCTGCTTCAGTGCTGACGGCGATGGCGTCAAAACGGGAGGTGGCGGAGGAGCAGGTTTCACGAGAGGCGAGCCGCTGCCGTAACCGAGAGTAGACTGCGTGTACCGGCGTTTTTTCAGCGACACGGAGTGAGAAGACTTTGGGACTTCAAAGACGATTTCCGTCGAGGCGACGAAGTCGTGCATGACGGGGTCCGCCTCATCGCGTTCCGGACGCTGCCATCCAGCGTCATCACACACAGCTTGAGGCTGGTGCGGTGGTGATTTTTGGGCCGCTTTGCGCACAGGGTACCTCCATCCCTCACTTTCATCAGAAGGCTCGGGCAAAGGACGGGGTGCAGGTTCTGAGACTGGGCCTCGTAAGAAATCAAAGCCCGTTCTTGGACCGTGGCTACAAGAGGGGTCGCCATCGGCATCGTCAGCGTCATCGTCGCTAGGCGCTGCCATGGCTACGGGGTGGAGAACGTGTGGATGCTAGACAAATTGGCAAAAAAAAACAGTGGTTTTCGGAGTTGGCTGGAGGAATGGCTGAGTGTTGCGAAACTGCTTGACCCACTCTGCTGAGCTTGCTGAACCAACACGGCAAAGCATCAGGTCGCTTCGTTGGGTGACGCGGCTTGCATCTGTGCCACCGACAGTATGAATGTGGTCTGGGATTTGACTAAGTGCAGGCAGCATCAATGTACGTGATGCCAACAGTCCTTTCCTTGGCGTGCAGGATATCGAAACATAAAAAAGTGACCAATTACACCCATGACTGCTGCCAACGCATATTCTGCAGGGAAGGCCGCTTCGGTACTTGCGTGATTGACGGAAATCACGCTCCGACAAATTTTGGGAATGAAGGGAGAGGGGGGGGGGGGGGGGGGGGGGGGGGGGGGGGTGCCCTGTACGCCCTTAAGGGTAATCTTCGTTAAAAGAAAAATTACCCCAGAGCATCAGTGTGGCCTAAATCGTTTCACTGTCAAATCGGTGTAACACTAAGTTTCAAAAAAATTACCCAAACACATCAATGTATGCCCTAAATTTCACCCTTCTCATCAGTATAGCAGTGTGATTTACAATGATAAAATAGGCCCTGGTAACATGTAACTAATTGTTAGGAATTTCTCGCTATTCCTTACTACGCTCGACAACATCGCGTACAGCAGCAGCCGTAGTTTGCCCGTTACTGCTAACGGGGCTTCGCCAATTTTGCGCGCACTGTTTCACCAAACCTCGCACTACTGGAGCAGCCGAGTCGGCCTACGCTTCGGGACTAGCCCGAACCTCGCGCCAGCGTAGCACTAGCTAGCTCGCACGCACCGCGTTACCATTTGCATGTTTCACGTTTAAGTATTCGCTCATACTTTGTACTCGTTGAACAATCTAGTGCAATCCTCGCTACCTCGATTCATTGCACCCGTAACACTTGGTATCAGAGCCTCTTTCCTTTTCGGACCGCACATCTCCGCACCCCAGGAAATCAACTTTTGTTTTTTCACTCGAAAGGACTCACGCCGGGTCAGTGCGCCCATAACCCCCCAGGCTAACAGGCCTGTAACCCCCCCAAGGATCAATCGGGGATCTCACAGTGCAAGTCTTCTGTCAGGAGTCGCTGTCCTTGCGTTCTCTCGTAAACGCGTGCAGCCACGACTGCGCCTAGACTAAGCTGAGCCGAAGCCGTTCGACATGGCTGAACACATCGTCGTCACTAAGCTCACGCAGGACCGTCTGAACGAACTACTGCAGAAACTTCGCGAACGCTCTGAAGAAATTGCAGCGCTGACGGCAGAACGCACGTCCCTGCAGATTGACATCGCACGAGCACAGCAAGCACAATCACAAGCACCTGACACTCCGGGACAACCTGCACCACAGACATCGCATCACGGAAGTGTGGGGCAACCCGCGAGCACGGCCAGTGATGGGTCGTCCGCAACGACGGAGACGACGACCATGACACGACACACCCCGAAGCGACGAATGCAGCCAGGAGTCAACCCCGCGTCACGATTTCTGTGCCGGCCAGCGAATCAACACTGCAGTCGCCGATGCCGCTGAAGCCGCAGCGTCCGCCATGCTTTGACCCGAGTCAACGGGGTGGTCCTACCGTTCATGCGTGGCTGTTCACGTTGAACGTTTTCTTCGATGCCAACTACGTCTCGGAGGATACGGCAAAAATTCGCTATGCCGTGTCGTTGTTGCGAGGACCCGCCATGGATTGGTGGTGTGTCATCGTCACGAAGCCGACGGACTACGCGACTCTACTGACACGGGAAGGACAAACCAGACCCTGGGCGCTGTCGTATTTCGTGGAGGTGCCCCAATATCGCACGTGGGACGCGTGGTGCGCAGGTCTGCGCGCTTGATTTGAGCCAAATGCGGCTTCGATCACGGCGCGTCAGAAGCTCCGCACTTGGCACCAACTCGGTTCCGTCCAAGATTACACCAGCGCATTTCTGGCACTGTGTGAGTAGGTGGGCTACATGCACGAATCTGAGCGCATCGACCGCTTTATCAGCGGCTTGAAGCACGACATTGCTCAGGAAATCCAGCTCCGCGACGTCACTGATTTTCAGGAGATTCTCGCTATGGCGGAGAAACTCGATTTCTTCCACCGGCCGAGGCCGGGGTCCTTCGGAAGTAGCA